GCCATTCAGTGTGTTTCACACTCTTACTTAACCCTTCTAGGGTTACATCACTTTATAACATACATCTTAGGTTCACTTACTTTTAAATGTATGCTAGTCTTATGAGTCCACATATAAAATCCATGAGGCCTCATTCATAGTTTGTCTAAGTGATTCATGTTTACTCAAAGATTATGTGGTACAAGACTTATGCATCTTGTAGATATTCCAAGATATTAATTTCAATCTTTAGAGGCAACATTCATTAAATATTTTTTTACGTATGACTTATGTTTCAATACGAAATTAGGCAAGGGAACCCGATTTCGAATCCCTTGAACAATACTTAATCTTATTTTAAATTTGATAATTGCATTTTTCAGATTTGGAAGACCCTAGTTTGATTCCCATAAACCCCATGACATTTCTTTCTTGTTCTCCTCTCTTTTTTCATTTTAAAGCAATGAGTTTGTGGGTTCTATCCCCACTCTCCACATTTTATTTTTTCCTTTATTTTTCTCCTAACTCTCTCATCCATTCAAGAGGTTATGGGTTCAATCCCCCTCACCACATCTATTTTTCCTTGCATTTTCTCACAAATTTGTATGAAATCTTCATTTGGTGAGGTTATGGGTTCAATCCCCAATGACCTCACATTTTAAAAAAGTTTTTTAAATGAATTTCAATTTTTTAAAAGTTGGCCGAGACTACAATCTCCAGCAAGCTGGAAATTTAGTCTCCTCCAATCCATTTTTGTCTTAATCTTTTGTTTATTTTTTTGTAGCTTTTATGTAATGATGTCTTGGGTTCAATCCTTAGTGATTTCAATAATTTTACATTCATTTTTCATTGCATTTTATACCACTTTGGTTGGCCAAACCCAACCTATCAAATGCTGAAAATTTGTTCACTATTTTCAGCTCCTTGTTATCATCATTTGTTCATTAGATCTTACCACGTTTCATGAATCATTTGGGGCATATTTAAGTATATTTTTTTCATAATTATATTCAGACAAGAATTACCATTAAATCCAGCAACATTACACCACTTTTACACATCATGAATTATACAAACATTTGCACAATCATCACTTTTTCACATACTTTCGGTTGGCATAAATTAATATGCTTACAATTCCATGAACAAATTATCACGAAAATCATACTTCATACTTAAAATACCAAAAAATATACCAACAACATGATCTTTAACCTATTTCATATTTAAATCATATGGATACTAGGGACAAGGAGTTCGACAAGAACGGGAACAACCCTAGCTTTAAAATTCGTTGAATTCGTGGAAAGGAAATTCTCTTGGAGAAAGTAGTCCAGGAGAGAAACCCATACGTTACTTTAGTGTTGTTCAACACACGACCTTCTGTCCAAAACCCTCTCCAAATGCACGTCCAAGTCCCGAAACTTTAACACAAGACTTCACAGAAAACCCTTCTTTTTGCTTTACGTTTTTTGTTAGCTTTATGTTTTTAACGTGTAAATTCTTCAAGTATGAAGAAATTTTTGTTTTGTTTTCAGTTTCTTATATTTCGTCAGTAGATAGAAAGCAAAAGTGAGAGAGATGATCATGAAAGAGAGAGGATAAATGTGAGAAGTGAGTGGTTCCTTTGGACTAGGATTGTATTTTAAGACTTAGTCAAAATATGGTTTTGTTAAATTATAAAAATTTCATTTATTTAAATCACACGTGAAAGGAACTTATTGCCCTTACAAAAAAAAAAGATTTTAAACCTCATTTTAATTCACTTGGGCGTCGCTTTTGTTGAGGATCAAACCCGTGACATCCCCATCGCGAAAACGGGTACTTTCGGGTTGATCAGACCCAAACCGCCCCATTTATTAATTAATTATTAATAATAATAATCTGATTTTCTTTTTTCTTGAATTAGAATTTAAATATTAATTAATTAAATTAATTCTCCAACATAAATAATCAAGCTAAATCATTGCTCCCACCTAGGTTCGAACACGGATGGAGCAAGATTTTGCTCAATGGGCATTTTTGGCCCTTTCCACCCAAAATTCCCCTCCACCATATTAATTAAATCATAAATTACATATTTAGGGTAATTACAATACTACCCTTATCCTGGAAAAAGACCATTTTACCCCTAGACTCTCCAAACCTAAGATTTCCCCTTTTTACGTCCGGTAAAGACTCATCCGGGTAAATCTTCATATTCGGGAAGCCTACATGGCTGGAACTAACCTTTTCTAACTCAAATAACTCCCCAAGTTAGTTGGCTTGGATATAGGAAGGATTCCGAGGTCTGGTTTCACGCGCATCACAATTCGTGTGAGTCTAGTCTACCGTAGGCATTCTAGACACACTACACACTACTAAACATATTCATTTTTTAGGGTTGTTACATAACTTTCAACATTTTTAGGTCCATGAAGCAGAGTGGTGAACTTCAAACAGTATCAGCTACATCCTACAGGGTTGATCATACGTTTGAGGTATAAATTGAAGAGCGCCTTTGTGTTGAGGCACTAGCGGCAGTGATCATGAATTTTTAGAGTGATGATATTGAAGAGTATGGGTCATTTGTTGAGGCACTTGATCGAGGTGAATTTGGTTCAAACGAAAAAATTGGAGTTAGATATGAAGCATCGTGACTTTCCACCCGCAAAATCATCTATTGCGGAGTCTCTAAAATTAGAGAAGGCTCTACCACCTCATCTGAGGTATGCGTTCTTGGGAAGAGATGACACTTTGCCAATAATCATTGCATCAGATTTTAATGTGGAAAAAGTAGAATGCCTCGTAGAAGTGTTATAGAGGTTCAAACGAGCCATTGGTTGGACTATTGCGTACATTATTGGGATCCCACCCGGTATTTGTTCATACGAAATCTAACTCATGTGCGATCACAATCCAAGTATTGAGCACCAAAGATTTTTGAATCCACCTATGCAAGAGGTAGTTAAGAAATAGATTATTAATTGGTTGGATGTCGGAGTCATATATCCTATCGCATATAGTAGTTGGGTATGCCCTGTTCAATGTGTGCCCAAAAATGGAAGAATGACAGTGGTTGCTAATGAGAAGAATGAGTTTTTCCATTGAGGTCGGTGACCGGATGGAGAGTTTGTATGGATTATCGAAAGTTGATTGCATGGATTGAGACGGATCATTTTCCTATGACCTTGAAGGATCAGATTTTAGATAGATTCGCAGGAAAAGGATGGTACTATTTTCTTGATTGTTATTCGGGTTACAATAAAATATCTATTGCACCAGAGGATCAAGAGAAAACAACCTTTACTTTCCCTTATGGGACATTCGAATTCAAGAGGATGCCTTTTGGGTTGTTTAATGCATCGACTACTTTTTAGAGATGTATGATGTTAATATTCTTCGATATGGTGGAGGACACTATTGAAGTGTGTATGGATGACTTTTAGTTGTGGCGACTGTTTTGATCGTTGTTTGAGTCACTTGGCCGAGGTTGTCAAAAGATGTGAAGATTGCAACCTTGTGCTAAATTGGGAAAAATGTCATTTCATGGTGAAAGAGGGTATTGTATTGGGCCATCGCATCTCAGAGAAGGGGATAGAGGTTTATCGAGCAAAAGTTGAGGTTATAGAGAGACTTCCTCCACCCATCTCTGTCAAAGGTGTGAGAAGTTTTCTTGGGGATGCGGGCTTCTATTGGAGGTTTATTAAGGATTTCTAAAAAATTTTACATCCTCTGTGCAATTTACTTGAGAAGGAATGTAAATTTTATTTTGATGAATCCTGTCTGAAGGCATTTGAAGAGTTGAAGGACAAGTTGGTGTATACACCTATAATTATTTTCTAAGACTGGAGTAAGTCATTTGAGGTGATGTGTGATGCTAGCGGGGTTGCTCTTGGTGTGGTATTGGGACAAACAAGGGATAAAATCCTTCACCCCATCTATTAAGCTATTAAGGTCCTAAATGAAGCATAAATGAACTACACTGTGACTGAACAACATCTCCTTGCAGTGGTATTTGCTTTCAAAAAAAATTTCTTCTATTTGCTTGGCATGAGAGTTATAGTGCATACTGACCACTCCGCTTTAAGATATTTGATGGAAAAGAAGGATGTGAAACCAAGGTTGATTAGATGGGTGCTACTATTACAAGAGTTTGACTTTGAGGTGAAAGATAGAAAAGGGACTAAAAATCAAGTTGTCAATCACCTGTCCAGATTAGAAGATGAAGCTATGCGAGAGTTGGGTGAAAAGGCTGAAATTGATGATACCTTCCCTGATGAGCATTTATTTGGCGTTTCTCATGACTTGATATATGGTTTACCGATTTTGCGAATTATTTGGCTAGTGCTATAGTCCCATTGGACTTGTCCTTCCATTAAAGGAAAAAGTTCATGCATGATGTGAAAAAGTTCTTTTGGGATAAGCCTTACTTATACCGAAGTTGTGCTGATGGGCTTATTCGCTGTTGTGTGTCAGAAGTTGAGATGCTAAGTGTTTTGGAGGCTTGCATTCCTGGACAGTGGGTGGGCATCATAGTGGTATCCGGACTGCCCATAAGATTTTGCAGTGTGGGTACTATTGGACAACCATCCACCAAGATTCTCATGAGTTCGCCAAGGCATGTGATAGGTGCCAAAGAGATGGGGAAATTTCAAAGAGGCAAATCTCCCTTTATATCCCATTCTAGTGATTGAGTTATTTGATGTATGGAGCATTGATTTTATGGGCCTGTTTGTGAGTTCTCATAGGATAAATATATTCCTATGGCGGTGTATTACGTTTCAAAATGGGTGGAATCCATGGCACTTGCCAACAATGAAAGAAAGAGTGTCGCCGCGTTCTTGAAAAAAAACATCTTCTCTAGATTTAGCGCACATAGGGCCATTATAGGTGATGGGATATCTCACTTTTGTAACAAGTTTTCCAAAGGTCTATTGGAGAAATATGAGATTCTCCATAATGTAGTCACTCCGTACCATCCACAAATTAGTGGGCAAGTTAAGGTATCCAACTGAGAAATTAAGCAAATCCTGTCGAAAATGTTGAATGCTAATAGAACAGATTGGTCAAGGAGGCTTCATGATGCTTTTTGGGATTACCCGACTGCATACAAGACCCCCATAGGTATGTACCCACATCAACTTGTATATGGTAAGTCTTTTCACTTGCCTGTTGAGTTAGAGCACAAGGTCATGTGGGCGATAAAGAAACCGAAGATGGATTGGAATGAAGTAGTCGAACAGAGACTTTATGGGTTGATTGATCTTGATGAGTTTTGCCTAAAAGCATATGAAATACCATCCATCTACAGAGAGAAGATGAAGAAGTACCATGACCAAAAGATTGAGAAGCGCGAATTTGCGATTGGGGACTTGTTGCTTCTATTCAACTCTAGGCTACGCTTGTTGCCGGGTAAACTCAAATTTAAATGGACTGGACCATTCTTAATTACTAAAGTGTACCCACATGGAGCGGTTGAGTTGCAGAACAAAGAGGGTGCAAGGTTTACGTTAAATGGCAAAAAATCAAGAGCTATTAAGGGCATGCGGAGAGTGTCTATGAAGTGGTTGAAGCATATCGCCTTGATGAAGTCTGAGTAATCAAGGATCTTGCATCGTGTCCCGACGTTAAGTCAAGCACTTATTGGGATGCAACCCAATGTGTATCCTCTAGCTAATAATAGGTTTTTCTTTTCTTTGTAGGAATATTTGCATTCTTTTGTTTCATTTTGTTTTACTCAATTTCATATGTTAATTTTTTTAGTGCATTGGTTATATAGTAGTGTAGGTTCCGTGTCTAAAAAGTGTCCAGAAAACACAAAAACAATGGCTTAATGGGTGCTCAATGTGTCGGACCAAACCACAAGAATTTTACAGAAATTTGTCTTGTGCACAGATCTACAGACCAACCGTAGGGCCGTTGTTCAATCGACGGACCGTCGATGGTGTCCGTAGATCCCAGGTATGTCTTGAAATTTTTTGTAAAGTTTGATCACAATCAACGGGGTACTGTCAGTTGACAAAAACTAGTGACCCGACCGGACCCGACTGGCTATATTAGAATATACCTATTCAGTTTCCCTCCACGTCTTTTCAAATTACCTCGCAACCGTTTGCCTCCCCTTATTCCCTTTTTTATCTGTTAACTCCCAAAATCACTCCCTTCCAATGTCTTCCCCCCAAAAAAGAAAAAAACTCAATTCTCCCGAACTCCCTAAAATCCCAAAACCCTATCCCCTCAGTTTCTACTATGTCTCCTTTGTGCGTTCTTTGGTCAGTGTTTGAAAGAGGGACGTAGGTTGGTATTGGAATATCACCCACTCATTCACTTCACTACAACTTACATGTATTTCTTTTTCCTTGTTAAAATTGGGTTTATGTCCCTTAGAATGATAGAAAGTGAATGGATTGGAGGTGGAATCTGTGTAAATTCAATATGCTTGTTGATTTACTCACTTAGGGCTTGATAGTCTCGTATAATCAATGAATGAAATTGCAAAATCGAAGACTTAAGGATGACAGATTGGTGTTATGCTTGTTATTACATGTTGGATGAACTCGTGATGTGCTTGAAATTATCCATATCTGGGGTTAAATCCAAGTCCTAAAAACCTATCTCTGATCAGCTATAAAACAGGACCCCGTCTATGGACCGTCAATTGATCGACAGACCATCGATGGGGTCCGACGATGGCTAATTACTTAACTTTGGAACGACGGAAGTGGAATACGTTTCATCAATTGACCGATGGGACGTTCAACACGTCCGTCGTTTATGCCTGAAACTTTGATTTCTGAACAAGTCTGGATTATTCTAAGTGTTCGACTACGGAAGTTGACTACGGTTCATCAATTGATCAATGGGACATTCTGTACGTCTGTCGTTTCTAACTGAGAGGTCTATGCCTTGTTGACTTCTCAAATTTTCTCCGTTTCCACTAACTCGATGGTCCATCGATAGTGGCTGACTCCCAATTCGGCAATTCTGCAATGACCTGTATCTTGTGTTTGTAGATTCTATCTTATGATGCTTGTGTAGATTGATTACAATGAGACTACCAAGGTGTTTTTCAGGTACTTATGGCCCGAAAACCAGACATCCTCTATTCTAGGGGGAGTTCTAAGTCTGTGGCTCATTTCCAATGGTTGATAGGTATGTCGGATGATGAACATGATTCGAAATACGTGCCCCAGGCACCCGGACCCCTACACCAGCTGCTAGAGCCACTCGGGGCACCCCAAGAAGGTGTCACCTGGCGCAGTCACTGCCTCCCAGTCTGATGAAGAGCGCACACTGACCGGCACACCATCTGGATTAAACTCGGGTTCTGAGGGAGTGTCTCGCTTTGATGAGGCTTCAGGTTCAGAGTCGGCCCGCTCTATAGGGTCTAATGAGGCCACTATCTCTGGTTCTTGATCACAGGGAGCCACTCTCCCAAATGTGTCTGCCCGCAATGCCTCGTCATATGAGGACTAAAGTTAGCCGTCTTCTCAGGCACCCCAGCATGAGGTCCCTACATCGGTTGCTGATGAGCCCGATCAATGGTTCATCAATGGCCAGTACCAGGTATACAGGGATGCCAAGTTTCTGAACTATAAGGGGGTGATGACTTGTATGTTGACAGTCGAGTCGCGAGTTCTTACATGGAGCCTACACACAGTCCTGCAGTGTATGACTTGTTTACCAGCCATCGGCTCTCCAAGGTTCTTTGGATAGGCGGTCGAACCCCGCCAAACACGCCCCACTCACAGATGTTCGAGTCTGAGGATGATCAGTGGAAATCTCTACTACTTCTAGCTGTCGCTTCCTATACGGTGGGTCCACTGATGCTGCAAGGGTTCCCCTCACCTCAGAGTTTGACTACAAGAGGGACGTGGTCAAGATTGGCCATTTTTAGCATGGCAAAGATCTGAGACAGTCCACAAAGAGGTGGATTGTACAAGAGCTCTCCACTAACGGTGAGGGAGTAGACTGGGTGTTGGACCCTAGAGACCTTATCAAGAAGCCAACCTCACTTTTGTGGCCAATGGGTATTTTTCAACCACCGCCTATCCCCCACGGTTGCAGATAATATACTTACTTGGGATAGATCGGTCTTAGTAGTAGCTCCGACTTCACGAGGTTGTTGATCTCCATGATACATGAGAGGGCCTTTAAGGCCTCTATCACCTACCCGTTTGCCTGTATGACTTTCAAATTATGCAGGGATGATGGAGTGCCCCTCTGATACTGTGATATCCTTTATACTCCGATCAGGATTGTGGATATCGATCTCATCAGGGATAAGATCAATGTGGCGGCGCCACGGCGAGGAAACATAGTTGATTTGCAGTGTTGAGTGAGAACTTGGCGGATACGGTAGATCAAACCCAAGTGGATGAACTTGTCATTTTAGATCCTACCGATATCACCCCGGCCGAGTCTGCCGCATACACAAGTAGGACGCCTATGTACTCCCGGTCTACTCCATCATCAACAGCATTGGTCCCGATTGTTAGGGTCAAAAATTTAGAGGCCCAGATGGCCACCTTGTTGCATCACATCTAGCCTTGGATGCAGAGATCTATTGCCGAGGCTGAGGACCAAATTGAGAAGAGGGTGGCTTAGTCGACAGAGGGACAAGTTCAGGCAGTCCACCAGTGCCTCAATGCATTTGAGTTGAGAGTTCTGTCATGCCCAGCCCCCACCATTGATTTGATGACTCTTCAGGATGCTGTGGCGAGTCTGCGAGAGACGTGGATGGTATACTTGAGATGAGAGGACCCGAACTTGATAGAGAACCTGTGAAGCTCACGGAGGACATTGTGCTTGCTGAACTGTTCCTACCAGCACTACACTGTCGGCTGTGCAACGTGATCGTGCCAATAGGCACCGTTCTAGCCGTACTAGTGAAGGTGAGGATGCTCGTGCTCGGAATAAGGAGTAGATGGATTTGGAGGCTATAAGAAAAGCCTCGTTGCTTGATGAGGAGGCCCGTCATATGAGAACTAGAGAGTTGGCTGCTAGGGATCCTAGATCCGGAGTGGAGTTTGTTGAGAGTAGCACCACTGAGGGTACAAATACTTTTGTGGGAACTACTGAGGGTGTCCCTAGTGAAGGTGCAGGTTCGAGGAAACTGGACCCGTCTGTTTGTTGATCTTCGGTGCTATGCACCTCAGGTTTGCTTCACCTACAAACCTATCTTTATATTTCTTATAAATTTGGGACAATTGTATGTTTTTTTCTTGGGGTGGGGTAAATGAAAAGTGAGTGCTATGGTGAAATATGTTAGTCCAACTCATGACCCTCTCTTGGTGGTATTCTTGCGTGTTGTCTTTTTCCCAATAGACCGATTATTTTACTGTTGAATTGGCATGTGTCGTAACTTGTACAAAGTACAAAAAAATGAAGCATGATGGCTAAATTTAAATTATATACCATTCTAAGAAAGTACTTGCATGAATAGGTTTAATGAATGTCTAATGTTGGATCTAATCATGACATAGAGTTGCACCACTTCATGATCCTCATTCTAACACTCAAACTAGCTGACCCATAATCTGATAGTGTAATAAGGTGTCAAGAGAGTGTGAGGATATTTAATTGTTCCGCTGTTGGTACCTAGCTAGAACTTGCCCGCTTGGTCTTGCCAAAGGAATATGTGTTAGACAATTAGGAAAGGATCATAGGCCCTTGTTCAAAATTATTAAACTTCTAGACTAAAGTGAAGTGAGCCGAATGAAATTTTTATCCCTTTTTTATCCAAATAGTTTGAGCCTGTAATAGACCTTTCTTTTCTTCACCAACTCAACTTTCCTGGGTATAATGTGTTGGCCCTGGTACCTCCTTGGACATGTGCACCTCAACTTATGTCAAAAACATAAGTTGAGGGTGGCTAGTGAAGAAAATTACCTCATCTTGGCCCTGACCCAACCTTGGGTAATGTGTACCTCGAATCATGGCAAATACATATGTTGAGGGTGTCTATTATGAGTGATGACCCGAAAAGTGGGTATGAAAAAGAGTAATGTGGAAAAGAAAAGGGACGGTGAAAGAAAGGAGAAAAAGGTAGGACACTTAGCCGTAATGTCAAGGAGGGCAACAAGTAACTAAAATGTACCATATGTACCATACCTGACCCAGAGCTTACTTACAAGCCAAGAAAGTCCTATCGTGATCCTAAGAGTCTAATATGTTGAACTTAAGCAGTGAAAATAAGGGCAAGCCTATGGCGACGAGAACTAACTAGGTGTGAATTTGTTTTGAGCATGAGTAATGAAAAAGGATCCTTATACTAAAAGATAAATTCACTGTGTGAAAAAGGAGGATATCTTTTGAAGTGGGGCACTAGTTACAATATCAGAAAGTTGATACCTTGGCGAAAAAAAAGAGTAGCGGTGTCAATGCTTGGTGAGTCTGTGTGATGGTCTGATCTACATGAGTAAGCCTATCAATCCAAAGACAAGAAACATTCACTAAAGCAAAGAAAAAAGTTGGGATTGATAGCCATGTGATTATGGAAGTTTAAAAGATGATACTTGTGTACAAAATGTTGTGTTGAGTCATAGTGTGTCGCTTGAGGATAAACAATGAATATAAGTTGAGGGTGTTGATGTACCGT